ATACCCGGAGGAATTGAGATCCGGATGGACGGAAAGTATCTGGAGAGATTGGAAGAGCTTTTAGGGCTCGGAAAAGCACATCCAAAGAAACTCCCGTTTCCAACAGACTATGGGAGATCGATGAAAGATGAGACCCCGCTGAACGCGGAAGAGCACCATCTGTATAGGTCTTGTGTGGGGATCCTGTTGTACATGACCCCCGAGCGACCCGACCTAGGGTTTGCGACGAAGTGGCTGTCTGGAAAGTTGGCGACACCGACAAGAGGTGACCTCGCAGTGTTGAGGCATGTGGCAAAGTATGTGAAAGCTACGTCACACTATGTGATCGAACACATGGAGTCGCACCCTGGGAAGAGTTTCCTGGAGAGAAATGAAATCGAAGAAGAAATGCGTTTCGACGAGAAAAGCGGAGACGTGTTTACCGCGAAGAGTTTGATCGAGGTTGTGACCGACGCCGATTGGGCGACTGATAGAGAGACGCGACAATCAACAAGTTGTGCATTGATCTTTGTGAATGGAAATTTGGTCCATTTTCATGCAAGAAAGCAAAAAGCGACAGCCTTGAGCAGCTGCGAAAGCGAATTGGTTGCAGCCGTTGGAGGTTTGAGTGAAGGAGTTTTTCTCCAGAATTTGCTGGAAAGAGTTCTGAAGATCAAGCCGGAAATGAGGATCCACATGGATTCAAGTAGCGCCCGAGCAATCCTCATGAAGAAAGGATTTGGAAGAACGAGGCACGTTGATGCCGGATTGTTGTGGGTTCAACAACTCACCGGACGAGGCCTGAAAGTGAAAGCAATCAAAGGAACCGAAAACCCCTCGGACGTAGGAACAAAGGCGTTGACAAGAAGTTTGGTTGTGAAGTGTTTAGAAAAAATGGGCGTGAGAACAGGAGAAGAAAGCAGGGAGCCCAAAGGAGCCTCGGAGTTCAAGATCCCGAAGAAGTATCTGAGGAGAATCGTGATGATGTTAATGGTTCAAGGAAGTGAAGGGTTGAAAAGTGAAAAGAAAGAGTTGAGTTTTGGATTTTACATGTTCACGGGAATCATGGTCATGATGTTGCTTTTCATGGTTTGTAGTCTGGTGCTTGGAGAGTACGCTAGAGAGAAGTTTCGCGTGTCCGCAGCCGTTTTCAGCTCAAGCAAAAGAGAAGGCCAGGTGGAAAAGAAAAAGAGAGAAAAAGAAAAGATGGAGGCCCAGCCAAGCGCTCTAGAAGCGACCGAAGAGGCGGCAGTGAAAGCTCACGAGGCAGCCCTCAAGGAGATGATTATGAACGCAAGATCCCTTGAGGCAGTTGAGCTTTTGAACAAAGCTTTAAAGCTCTGCCGCTCGGGGCCAAGAGAGAACCTGGTGTTGCTTGGGGAAAAGGTGAAAGAGTTGGATGAGAAGTATGGAGTTAAAGAGAAACCTGGAAGCAGCGCTGGAAGCGAGGAGAAAGAAGTCGAAAAGAGAAAGGTCGAGCTGCTAGAGCTCCAGGAAGCAGCAAAGAAGAGAAGGAAAGGGATCTTCGACAAGAAAGAAGAGAAGCAGCCAAAAGAGAAAGAGAAAAAGGAAGAAGAGTCCGACGAGGAGTCCCAAGAGAAGAAAGATGGAGGTGAAAAAGAAGAGACCTCGAGCGAGGAGGAAGATGTACAAGAGATTCTCAAGGAGACAGCGAAGAAAGAGGTGCTCGAAGAAGAGAAAAATGTGAAAGAGCTCTTGGGGAAAATGACGGAGAAAAAGGAGAAGCTGGATGAGGCCCGAAGAGCGTTTGCCTCGACCTCGGAAAGGTACGAGGAGGCGAAGGTGTACCGAGCGGTCAAGGTACGAGAAAAAGAGAATTTGTCCGAGCTGTGGGACAAGTTGGAGGATGAGTTGGAAAAGAGCAAGAAGGATTGTGAAGCGATCGAAGCCCAAGCTGATGAGATTTTGGAGCATGAAGAAGAGTTGGAAAAGGAGATGGATGAGTTGAGGCCAAAGCTGGCCGAAGCGTTGCGAGAGCTGGGTGAAAAGAGAAAAGAGCTTCGAAAGTACGAGAAGGAAGAAAGGCCGCCGCTTTTGAACCCAAAGGTGGACGTCGCAATCAAGGAAGAGCTCATGGATTTGCGATTGGGAAAGCAGAAGGTGGAAATTGAGCTTCAGGAAGTTCAAGAGCAAAACGAGAAGCTCAAGAAGAAAAAGGAAGAGAACGAGAAAGAGATGGAAGCGATGAAAGGAGAATTGGAGATGCTCCGGAAGAGGAAGCGTGAAAGCGTTGGATCCATGGATGAAGAGAAAGCGAAGAGCATGAAAGAGGAGAACAAGACCTTGAAGAAGAGCATCAAAGGTTTGTCGGAGACCAACAAGAAGTTGGAAAGTGACTTCCAGAAGTTGAAAAGCGAGAAAGGACAGGAGAACCTGGAAGGGAAGTTCGTTTTGAACATCGAAGAAGAGACCGACGAGGAGGAAGACAAAAAGAAGAAGCTTTGCATTCTGTGTTCCCGACACGGCCACAGCTACATGATGTGTTGGGACGCAGGGTATTCCTACGACAAGAATGGGAAATACACCCCGTGGTTGAATGTGAAGAACGAGGATGGAACGGAGAGAACAAAGGCCCAGTTCAGGAAGTACTTTCGGGAAAACGAGAAGGAGATTAGGGCCGAGTACGCAAAGTTGCTTGACGAGAACAAGAAGAAGTTCAGAAAAGGAGATGGAAAAGGAAAAGGGAAGAAGCCCAAAGAGGAAGGTGAAAAGAAGAAGTGAAGCCCTGAGGGGGCTTGGAAGAGAAAGATGTCCGAAATGACAATAAACTAAAAGTGCAAGATCGCACCTATAGACGAAGTCTTGAAAAAGCCGTCTGTGTATGTGTTTGAAGAGAAGTGAGAGAGGCTACCAGTAGCAGCGTAGTTTCTTCGTTTCACGTTTCACACCAACAAAAGAAGTGTGCACCACGATGTGTTTAAAGGAAAAGGATGACCGAAGTGAGCGATGAGGAGTTTGCATCCGAGTGAACTTAATTGCGATGAGAAGTGTGAGGCAATGAAGTGTAACTCGGAGAGGGGGTAACAAACTTTTCGGTTAGCCATGTGCCCCCTGTAGAAGTATTTTTCCTTGTCGTTTCACTGCTGCCAACAAGGCTCAAGGGACTGCTGAACAGACCGTGTCCCAGCAAAAGTGCCCGCTAGTGGTTTCAAGTTCAAGGGTCTGGAACGAACCCTAAATCGTTTTAGATTCGCATTCGCTCCAGGGTACTCGAAATTGTCCACGTGGTCCTCCGTGGTCTTGTTGAACGTCACAAAGGCGCCGAGCAATTTCGTAAATGCCCGTGCTATTGTAGTATTGTAGCTGGTGGACCCTGCGGGGATGCTGGAGAGCTGCGTGTGCATCGTCGGGAAGCTGAAAACCAGGCTGCGGCCGCTGGTCATGATCCTCTGGAAGCTCTCGCGAAGGGCGGAGTCGAGGGTCACCTGGGAGGCGTAGAGCTTCACGTTCTCGATGGTGTACTCCTGGCTCCCGCTGATGTTGCGGGCCCCGTCGGTGGGGTCGCAGAAGGTGATTTGAAGAACAAGGCCGAGCTCGGGGGGCAACATTTTGCCGCAGTTGAAGATCCCGATGAGGTGCGGGCTCATGAGCACGGTGCGGGAGCCCGAGGCCGGGATCTCCTCGGCGTGGCCCCCGCCGTCCGCCAGGAAGCCCTGGATGTGCCGGTTCAGCCACCACTCCTAAACCCTAAACCCTAAACCCTAAACCCTAAACCCTAAACCCTAAACCCTAACAAGGGCAAAGACGGCGCTGTAAAGCTCACGAAGCTGTCATGCCCACTCGACAGCCGGCGCCGGGGCGCTTGGAGCTTTGTGTTGCAGTTCACGGGTTTAGGGTTTAGGGTTTAGGGTTTCGGGTTTCGGGTTTAGGGATTGGATTTCCGTAATTCGGAGTGCCTGCTTGCAGAGCCTGCCTTCGTAAAGTGAGGGGTGCAGGAGTGTTGCGTTCAGCCAATGCCGAGGCATGACGGCAGCCGGATGACAAGTAGCAGCGCCGGGCAGGTTCGACAGCGCAGTTGCCTTGTAGGAGCTTCATGATGACGGCAGGAAATGCGGCTAGGGTCAGTGCACATGCTGCTGCGTTTGGCCACTTCACGAGTAGCTCTCTGAATTATCCTTGTGATGTGCAGCAAGCTTGGGTTCCTGCTCAGATGCGTTCATGCTCGCGGCTGCTTGCGGCAAAAGCACGCCCTGATATGATGGTCTACAGCTTTCCTCTCGGACTTGCGCAAAGCATCCTCGCATCCAGGTGCGCAGGCGGAGGCTCGGACTTTGGACGAAGTTAATACCCCAACACAGGCCGGAGCAGACGAAAGCTGCCAGTAGCTCTGCACCTGGAGGTTGAGGCTCTTTACACCTGATACTGTTTGAGTTTGTTGGCCGGATCAAGTGCCTAGGCGTTTCTATGCCAGCATCCGTAGGTGCTTTATCAACTCTACCCAAGAGCCAGCTTCGCATGTGGTTGGTTCCGTGTCGGATCTCGCGACACAGCGGGTGACGCGAGCATGTCAGGATGCAATACGTCCAGCTCTTCCAAGAAGCTCGGCGTTATCAACTCTACCCAAGAGCCAGCTTCGCATGTGGTTGGTTCCGTGTCGGATCTCGCGACACAGCGGGTGACGCGAGCATGTCAGGATGCAATACGTCCAGCTCTTCCAAGAAGCTCGGCGTTATCAACTCTACCCAAGAGCCAGCTTCGCATGTGGTTGGTTCCGTGTCGGATCTCGTGACACAGCGGGTGACGCGAGCATGTCAGGATGCAATACGTCCAGCTCTTCCAAGAAGCTCGGCGTTATCAACTCTACCCAAGAGCCAGCTTCGCATGTGGTTGGTTCCGTGTCGGATCTCGCGACACAGCGGGTGACGCGAGCATGTCAGGATGCAATACGTCCAGCTCTTCCAAGAAGCTCGGCGTTATCAACTCTACCCAAGAGCCAGCTTCGCATGTGGTTGGTTCCGTGTCGGATCTCGCGACACAGCGGGTGACGTGAGCACGTCAGGATGCAATACGTCCAGCTCTTCCAAGAAGCTCGGCGTTATCAACTCTACCCAAGAGCCAGCTTCGCATGTGGTTGGTTCCGTGTCGGATCTCGCGACACAGCGGGTGACGCGAGCATGTCAGGATGCAATACGTCCAGCTCTTCCAAGAAGCTCGGCGTTATCAACTCTACCCAAGAGCCAGCTTCGCATGTGGTTGGTTCCGTGTCGGATCTCGCGACACAGCGGGTGACGCGAGCATGTCAGGATGCAATACGTCCAGCTCTTCCAAGAAGCTCGGCGTTATCAACTCTACCCAAGAGCCAGCTTCGCATGTGGTTGGTTCCGTGTCGGATCTCGTGACACAGCGGGTGACGCGAGCATGTCAGGATGCAATACGTCCAGCTCTTCCAAGAAGCTCGGCGTTATCAACTCTACCCAAGAGCCAGCTTCGCATGTGGTTGGTTCCGTGTCGGATCTCGCGACACAGCGGGTGACGCGAGCATGTCAGGATGCAATACGTCCAGCTCTTCCAAGAAGCTCGGCGTTATCAACTCTACCCAAGAGCCAGCTTCGCATGTGGTTGGTTCCGTGTCGGATCTCGCGACACAGCGGGTGACGCGAGCATGTCAGGATGCAATACGTCCAGCTCTTCCAAGAAGCTCGGCGCCCGTCGACACGAGTTGATGGGGCGACCGGTATTGTTCAGAGCCCTGGCTCGCTTGCGCAATGGTTGAAGAGGAGCCTCCATGTCGGCATGTCTGCACTTGACGCGGGCTGGCCGAGTGATGCGCCACCTCGCGGACTCATCGGGAAGCCATGTGGGGGAAGCCATGGTGTAGCCTGTGATGCAACTTGTGCTTCACCATCTCCACTCCATCTCACAGCTCTGCTTGTGCCTCTATCTCCCTGCTGGCCGCTGGATTGCACGGTTGGCTGGTGCGAAGGCTCGGCTCGTGCTTGCCCGTGTGTGGTCCTGCCATGCAACGTGGCGGGCGGCGCTCCGTCACAAGTCGCGATGCACTCTCATGCCGCGTTTTGCGGCAACGGAGTGCGCAACTAGATGGGAGTCGATGCAGGCTCCTGCTTGAGTGATTGTCAAGACGTTCAAGAAGCTTGCAGTGTTAGACCAGTATCCGCCGAATCCTCGAATCATCGTTCAGTTTACTTCCAGGCAGCCGCTCAGAACGCGGGTCGCTTCGACACGGTCAGTTTGTGCGTGGCTTCTGCAGCCATTCTGTTCCCTAAGCCTAGACCCTACACCCTGCACCCTGCACCCTGCACCCTAAACCCTAAACCCGAAACCCGAAACCCTAGACCCTGAACAGAGATGAACAGAGGCCCGTTCCAGGTGACCTGACAGACCAGAGGCACCTGGCCATGTACACGCCCCATGCTTTCAGGCTTAATCCCTAAACCGTAAACCCTAAATCCGAAATCCGAACACGGATAAGAGCCAGAGGCTTGAACAGGGAACCGAGTGGTGGCCGCACTGGCGATGCACAGTTTCACCCTCGTCTGATTTGATAGCCTGTGATGCAGAGACTGCATCTGGGGGCCTTGTCCAGGCCAGCGCACACTTGAGTCCCTGTTAACTCTTTCACGTGCGGTGGGAGGACGGGGAGCTGCCCGAGCGGTGCCTACCAGTTTGCCAGGAAGTTAAAATTTGCGAGTCCAGCCGTTTTGAGGATTCCTCAACGCAAGATGCTTGATCATCGTTGTCCTGCTGCGCATGTTGCTGGATGTTCGCCTTGTGCGTCGCCCCTGCAACATTGAGAATCTCCAGGAGGGCACGGGAGGGCTATCCATGCGTGACACTGCGTGGCCTTGTCCTTGCCAGCGTTGCGGGCTCAGGTAGCTCTGATCATCTTGTCCACACAAACCTTCCCTGAAAGCTTCGCCGTCAAGAGTGCCGCTGGGTGTTCGCGGACATCCATCGCATGTTTGAAGCACTTAGTCAGGATCTGCCGTGTTTATCAAACTTTTCTCACTGCCGGCGGCTTGATGGAAGGAGAATTCTTTGAAGCATTGCCAGCCGTGTCGTTGCAGTAGCTAGCTGCACGAGCCCTTGGATGTTTGCGATGCAAGCTTGTGAGAACGAACGGCTGAGCTGCGGGCCTCGGCAAATCTCGGCAATCAAGGGTAGTAACTTTAGTAACTTAGTAACGTGCCCCAAGAACTGTACATCCGGAAATGTGCGTTCACAGCATTGCAAGCTGGAAAGCTGCTGAATCGCGAAGAACACCTGGACGGCAATGCGCGCTTTCATCTTCATTTGATCGTGTCCTAGCATGTTTTTGGCTTCGACAGACTTGCATGACACGTGCAACCGCAGTCGGGGTACAGAGGCTCTGCGAGCGTCATGCAATCGGTATATCTTGTGCTTCGGCACTTCAGTTTTCAAGCATCCTCTATGTCGTTCAAGGTCGGGAGCTCAGCTGGCATCGCACGCCTCAGTCCCTGCGTTTGAGTTTCTTAACTCTCGCACGTGCCGTGGGAGCAGAGGCGGTGCGATGGGCACCTTCAGTCGTCCAGCACTAGCTGCCCGAGCGGTGCCTACCAGTTTGACAGGAAGTTCAATTTGCGATCCGAGCCGCTTTGAGGATTCCTCAACACAGGATGCTTGATCATCGTTGCGCAGCCCTTCCTACAACCCCGCTTTGGCAGAACTCCTGCGCATGTTGCTGGATGTTCGCCTTGTGCGTCGCCCCTGCAACATTGAGAATCTCCGGGAGGGCACGGGAGGGCTATCCATGCGTGACACTGCGTGGCCTTGTCCTTGCCAGCGTTGCGGGCTCAGGTAGCTCTGATCATCTTGTCCACACAAACCTTCCCTGAAAGCTTCGCCGTCAAGAGTGCCGCTGAGTGTTCGCGGACATCCATCGCATGTTTGAAGCACTTAGTCAGGATCTGCCGTGTTTATCAAACTTTTCTCACTGCCGGCGGCTTGATGGAAAGAGAATTCTTTGAAGCATTGCCAGCCGTGTCGTTGCAGTAGCTAGCTGCACGAGCCCTTGGATGTTTGCGATGCAAGCTTGTGAGAACGAACGGCTGAGCTGCGGGCCTCGGCAAATCTCGGCAATCAAGGGTAGTAACTTTAGTAACTTAGTAACGTGCCCCAAGAACTGTACATCCGGAAATGTGCGTTCACAGCATTACAAGCTGGAAAGCTGCTGAATCGCGAAGAACACCTGGACGGCAATGCGCGCTTTCATCTTCATTTGATCGTGTCCTAGCATGTTTTTGGCTTCGACAGACTTGCATGACACGTGCAACCGCAGTCGGGGTACAGAGGCTCTGCGAGCGTCATGCAATCGGTATATCTTGTGCTTCGGCACTTCAGTTTTCAAGCATCCTCTATGTCGTTCAAGGTCGGGAGCTCAGCTGGCATCGCACGCCTCAGTCCCTGCGTTTGAGTTTCTTAACTCTCGCACGTGCCGTGGGAGCAGAGGCGGTGCGATGGGCACCTTCAGTCGTCCAGCACTAGCTGCCCGAGCGGTGCCTACCAGTTTGACAGGAAGTTCAATTTGCGATCCGAGCCGCTTTGAGGATTCCTCAACACAGGATGCTTGATCATCGTTGCGCAGCCCTTCCTACAACCCCGCTTTGGCAGAACTCCTGCGCATGTTGCTGGATGTTCGCCTTGTGCATCGCCCCTGCAACATTGAGAATCTCCAGGAGGGCACGGGAGGGCTATCCATGCGTGACACTGCGTGGCCTTGTCCTTGCCAGCGTTGCGGGCTCAGGTAGCTCTGATCATCTTGTCCACACAAACCTTCCCTGAAAGCTTCGCCGTCAAGAGTGCCGCTGGGTGTTCGCGGACATCCATCGCATGTTTGAAGCACTTAGTCAGGATCTGCCGTGTTTATCAAACTTTTCTCACTGCCGGCGGCTTGATGGAAAGAGAATTCTTTGAAGCATTGCCAGCCGTGTCGTTGCAGTACTAGCTGCACTAGCCCTTGGATGTTTGCGATGCAAGCTTGTGAGAACGAACGGCTGAGCTGCGGGCCTCGGCAAATCTCGGCAATCAAGGGTAGTAACTTTAGTAACTTAGTAACGTGCCCCAAGAACTGTACATCCGGAAATGTGCGTTCACAGCATTGCAAGCTGGAAAGCTGCTGAATCGCGAAGAACACCTGGACGGCAATGCGCGCTTTCATCTTCACTTGATCGTGTCCTAGCATGTTTTTGGCTTCGACAGACTTGCATGACAGGTGCAACCGCAGTCGGGGTACAGAGGCTCTGCGAGCGTCATGCAATCGGTATATCTTGTGCTTCGGCACTTCAGTTTTCAAGCATCCTCTATGTCGTTCAAGGTCGGGAGCTCAGCTGGCATCGCACGCCTCAGTCCCTGCGTTTGAGTTTCTTAACTCTCGCACGTGCCGTGGGAGCAGAGGCGGTGCGATGGGCACCTTCAGTCGTCCAGCACTAGCTGCCCGAGCGGTGCCTACCAGTTTGACAGGAAGTTCAATTTGCGAGCCGAGCCGCTTTGAGGATTCCTCAACACAGGATGCTTGATCATCGTTGCGCAGCCCTTCCTACAACCCCGCTTTGGCAGAACTCCTGCGCATGTTGCTGGATGTTCGCCTTGTGCATCGCCCCTGCAACATTGAGAATCTCCAGGAGGGCACGGGAGGGCTATCCATGCGTGACACTGCGTGGCCTTGTCCTTGCCAGCGTTGCGGGCTCAGGTAGCTCTGATCATCTTGTCCACACAAACCTTCCCTGAAAGCTTCGCCGTCAAGAGTGCCGCTGGGTGTTCGCGGACATCCATCGCATGTTTGAAGCACTTAGTCAGGATCTGCCGTGTTTATCAAACTTTTCTCACTGCCGGCGGCTTGATGGAAAGAGAATTCTTTGAAGCATTGCCAGCCGTGTCGTTGCAGTACTAGCTGCACTAGCCCTTGGATGTTTGCGATGCAAGCTTGTGAGAACGAACGGCTGAGCTGCGGGCCTCGGCAAATCTCGGCAATCAAGGGTAGTAACTTTAGTAACTTAGTAACGTGCCCCAAGAACTGTACATCCGGAAATGTGCGTTCACAGCATTGCAAGCTGGAAAGCTGCTGAATCGCGAAGAACACCTGGACGGCAATGCGCGCTTTCATCTTCACTTGATCGTGTCCTAGCATGTTTTTGGCTTCGACAGACTTGCATGACAGGTGCAACCGCAGTCGGGGTACAGAGGCTCTGCGAGCGTCATGCAATCGGTATATCTTGTGCTTCGGCACTTCAGTTTTCAAGCATCCTCTATGTCGTTCAAGGTCGGGAGCTCAGCTGGCATCGCACGCCTCAGTCCCTGCGTTTGAGTTTCTTAACTCTCGCACGTGCCGTGGGAGCAGAGGCGGTGCGATGGGCACCTTCAGTCGTCCAGCACTAGCTACCCGAGCGGTGCCTACCAGTTTGACAGGAAGTTCAATTTGCGAGCCGAGCCGCTTTGAGGATTCCTCAACACAGGCCTGATCATTGTTGCACAGCCCTTCCTACAACCCCGCTTTGGCAGAACTCCTGCTCATATTGCTGGATGTTCGCCTTGTGCGTCACCCCTGCAACATTGAGAATCTCCAGGAATGTTTGTCAAACTTTCTCACTGCCGGTGGCTTGACGGAAAGAGAATTCTTTGAAGCATTGCCAGCCGTGTCGTTGCAGTAGCTAGCTGCACGAGCCCTTGGATGTTTGCGATGCAAGCTTGTGAGAACGAACGGCTGAGCTGCGGGCCTCGGCAAATCTCGGCAATCAAGCATAGTAGCTTTAGTAACTTAGTAACGTGCCCCAAGAACTGTACATCCGGAAATGTGCGTTCACAGCATTGCAAGCTGGAAAGCTGCTGAATCACGAGGAACACCTGGACGGCAATGCGCGCTTTCATCTTCACTTGATCGTGTCCTAGCATGTTGTTGGCTTCGACAGACTTGCATGACAGGTGCAACAGCAGTCGGGATACAGAGGCGGCTCTGCGGGGAGTCGAAACCCTAAATCCTAAACCCTAAACCCTAAACACTGAAGTGCCATGGGAGGGGAGATGGCAAGCCTCAGTCCAACAATCGTGCGGGGTCTCCGAGTCCCTGAGCCTCAGTCATCGGGGTTGAACATCGAATCCAATCCAGTGCTCGTGCGAGGCCAGTGGGGTCCTGCATGTCCTCAATCTTCCTCGATTGCAGCCATGTTCGTGGCGACGGATGCGGCGCACAATCACCGCCTTCTCTGTGCTTTGGTGCTGAGTTGGTGCTGCTGATGGCAAGCCCGACGCTGGCACGGTTTGCCTGCGGGGGTTCTCTGCCGGGCAGAGCAGAGGGTCTCAGATGGAAACCCTCAACCCGTGCCATGCAAAAGCCTTAACAATGGGGGTGCGAGCAACTGTCGTGGAAGCTTCCTCAAACTGGCCCAGCTATTTCTGCCGGACCGGCCATCCTTCCAAATGCAGGCGGCTACTGGGCTCATGGACCTTGCTTGTTGAAAGACTTCATTTTGGGTCACACTCACTGCTGTCCGTGTCATTGCCATAGCTGCGCTAGGCGCCCATGGAGCCAAGTTCACCAAACGCGCATGCTTGTGGCAAGGCTGCACCCTTGCTGAGGGTTCTGTAGAGACTAAAATTTCGAAGCCATGGATGGTGGTTTCGAGCAAAAGCTCGTATCTTGAGGTCGCCATGAGACGGAGGGATTTCCGGCCTCCCAAGGCCAGTTCTCAAAACGCACAGGGAAGTCCTGTCTTGGATGTGAGAGAGCAGCCCTTTCAAGAACTTTCAAGCGTCCAGTCGAGCTACTTCAAGATCAGGTCTTCGTAGCCCAAATCCCTGAAAGCCGAAAGCTCCTGAAATCCCCTAGGCCTTCGTGTGCCAAAGACCAAGCTCCTAGACTGCAAGGTCCTGTTGCTTCCGCGCGCCGCTTTGCGGGCCACGAGAATCCGGTGCTGCCGCTCCTCATACCAACGCCCTTTCACGAGCCGGAGGGGTTGAGAGCCTGCTGTCCTCCAAGCGCGCGCGCGCCCTGCAGAAAGGCAGTTGCGAAGTTGGGACCTTTTTGGGGGATGTGGGCATGAAGCGAGCAAAACGGCCCCTAGACCCTTGAGGGCCCTCAACCTCAAGTCTTGGGAGGGCATCAGATCTCCGATGAGAAGCGAGATCTGTCAGCTGTAGGGCAGAAGAACCGAAACCGAGCTCCCCCTCTCTTTCCAGGCCGCAAGAGGTCCCCTTTTGCAAAGTCGCCAAGACGCGCCCCCGCTGTCTTCGGGGCTTCGAGATTCTGCCATCTGAAGAAGCCGAAGCAGGGCCAAATGAACTGCGTATGGATGACTCGGCTTCTTGAACCTGGATTCTGGGACGGGCCGGGGAGCCAAGTACTGGTGAAAGGCGCAGGTTCCAGCAGAGAGCCGTGTTGTCCAAGAGCATCGTCGCACGGAGTAGTAGCACAAGGGCACATGAACTGATGGGTTGGGGGTTTAGGGGCCACGTCGGCGCCCCACAGCAATTCGCTGTAGTGTGCTCTTCGTTGGCTGCTCTTTGCTGCCGGCTCCCGAAAGTGTGCCTCATCGAGAACCCTGCGGCCAAGCACGCGCTGGTCGCTTTTTGAAGGGCTGCTGGGGCCTTCGTGCTCAAAACCAGGCGCTATGATCAGCCGCAGGCTGGGAAGTCAAATGGTTCGCCACAAAACAACGAGTGAGCAGGTCATGACAGAACGAGAAAAGCGCCCAAAGCCTCGTTCAAAAGACTCAGAAATTTGCTGGGTCATGGGGATTCTCTCGCTCATACCTTCACATTCTTCCCATTTGTTTGTACGGATCGAACTCATTCGTTCACACCGGTGCTACGACAGGAAGAGTTGCGCAGGAAGAATTGCGAAACATGTCAGCGAAAGTGGGGGTGAAAGAGCCAATCTTGACAATATGGCCCTAAACCCTAAACCATCAACCCCCGGCCCGGGAGCGCCCAAGCGCCCCAAGGCGCTCACCTGAACCCGATCCCTAAACCTGAAATATTCTTCCAAGGCTGGACAGTGAAAGATGCCCCCTCCCAGCCAGGCCTAGTAAATGGAGGATGCTGCGTGGGCGCATAAATGCAAGGCGGGTGTAACTGCAGTTGCCTGTTGCCTAGACCCTTGCTCTCACCTGCCAAGCATTGCCTTGATGGTACGAGGAGGTTGTTGGAGCAAGCCAAACTTGGAATAAGAAACGTTTGAAAAACTCGCCTGTTGGGTGTCCAGCAGTGGATTACTGGGAGTGTGCAGGTCGTACCGTGCGTAAGGTAGCTGCAGGGTGTGGACCGAAGCACGTGATCCTACAATTAGTGCCTTCAGGGGGAGCGGAAATCGTCTTCCACATTTTCTGCCCTCCCCCACTTTGAGCATGCCCATACATGCAGTCCCTTTGCGGATCAGTAGAAGGCAGTCGCAAAGTGCGTGGCACCTGCACAGTAATTTGAGGGACCCCCCCCCCCTCGAAAAATACTTGGCAGGGCATACTCTTTCTGGACTCTTTCTGCACTTCCAGTCCGTATTCTCGAAGCTTGTGTGGGTGGGGGGGGGGGGTGGGGAGAGGGAGAGAGTGAGAGAGACAGAGAGAAAAGGATGCAATGGGTACCAGAGCCTTCTTCAATGGCTGAATACTGGATGCTAGCAGACGGCCGCGGCGCTCACGTCGTTTGAGTTTCCCTCAGCCTTCTTACGACTTCTGCTTCCTGCCTAAGTATCCGAAGGCTGACCGCAGGCTCTACAGATCTATGTTGGAGTAAAGGGCGAACTCTTTAACTTGAATCTTCTGTCACATGCAGACATGGCCGGGGAGACCGCTGTCCAACATCCATCCGAATCTCAGGAGCGGCTGCGAATTCTCTGGAAGTGTCTGAGTCAGCTGCGTTGGGGATCCAGGAACCGTTCGGAGCGGGTCCAGGCAGGCGTCACGGTATCACTGCCCATCAGGTCGCTGGCAAGAGCTGCTCCAAGACTCGGGTTGGGGAGGGGAGGGCACCGGTACCTATTTACACTTCACGACTTTGGCCGGGGTTGGGTAGGCCGAGGTCGGCCGCTCTCAGTCTCGTGTGGAGCACGGTACCGCGAATCGGGCATTGATCCCGGATGTCTCGAGGATGGCCGCTGACGGCTTATGATGGCTACAAAAGTGCGCCATGGCCATGGACTGGTGTCGCACCCAGCGCAGGCGCAAGCTGCGCGTTTGCATGAGGGCTATGGATGCCAGGGTAGCTGGTTGCTCACTTGCGTGGCCCAGCTCCGAGGCTTGCAGCTTCGGCATGTATCTGCAGCAGACCCTTAAGACTTCCTAAAGACTTGCTTGCTTCACTTGCATGTGTGGGCGCTGCCCTGCTGGGTCTCGGGGCCATTACATGGTTTCCACGCCATTACATGCTTTCCACTGTGTCACTGTGCGTGTAGGGCAGGGATCACGCGCGTGATGCACGGTGAGGCTCTTCACAGACCATTGCAACGGCTGCCGCTCAGATGGACAGCATGGGACGCCATGGCAGAACGCCATCGGGGCTGACCAGCTCTGTCGCGAAAAAAGCCCGCAAAAAGCATGCTGCTTTGCAGAAGAATGCGCAGTGGAGATCCTGTTGTATCCTCTTGCCTTTGATCTAAGCCCCGAGCTTCAAGGCCTTGGCGAGTGCCTATACGGTCTGATGTCCGCCTGCAAAGGCCCGGAAGCTCGAGGCAGAGGGCTTCGGGCTGGTCTTTCCTTTCAGGTTCCAGTCCCCTGAGCACGCCGCCGTCAGAAGTAGGAGTTGGCTTGGCTTCCACAATCCAGAAGTGATGTTTTATCCCAGATTGTTGCGAAGGCCAGAAGGTACATTCTGAACTGTGGGTCTTGTCAAGCAGCGTGGCGAGTCCTATCTTCAACTGCCTTCCGGAGGCGCGACAGCCTTTGTGGCCGGGCCCTTTGAGGACTAAGATGTGTAGATTGCTCTTGAAACGTTTGCAGCGCACATGCAACAAGGTGGCCACCGACCCGACCTGGCGTCTGCTTCCGTGGGGCCCGATACCGACGGGGCCAAGGAACAATCGCTGTCGACCGAGAAGAAAGCCGTGGCCGCGGCCCTGACGCTCTTTTCCGACGGTTCAATGTCGCAAAGAACCTGCGGGTTATGCCGCGGCCTCATGTGCTTGCAGCTGCAGCATGCAGCAGGGAGCTGCCTAAATCAAGAAGTCGAACCACGGCAGTATTTCTCGAGCTCTTGCATCGTCGGCAGAAGACTTGGCACAGGAAAGCATGTCAGCATAAGAAGAACATAGGCACAAGAGTGCTGGGGGTTTTAAGGTCAAAACGCAGGGCATGCCCAGCTCGGCAGGCGCAAGTTCGGGGCAAGTCTATGCAGGAGTCAACCGTGGTCTCCTTGAGATTCGGTCACCATACCAACTTTTGATGGCAAATCGACAGAACCTGCTGCGTGTGATATACAGCGGACGTCGCGTGCCCGTCGAGCAATACCAAGCTCACTGTCGCGCCCAAACTCTCACCGAAGCCATGCAGACCATGCATCTGTGGCAAGCTCCCCCAAAAAAGCCTGTGTAAGCTTTTGAAGCACTTGTAGGCTCCGGCCTCCGAGATCTCCAACACTTTTCGAAGCCTTTGCTGGGCCTTCGAATGCTTCGAACGGAGATGCCCAACACGAGATTTGCTGCCCTGGCATTGACAGTCAAGGTCTCTGAAGGCAGGCTTTAACGGCGCGCGTTACAATCTCGTGCGCGGAGCAGCTTTTCTCCTTCCGGTGAAGGGTGCCTGGGGCTCTTCCATTGCCTGCCTTGGGAGTCTGAGGGCTTCAACAGTGCGCGTCAGGGCAATCCGGCCTGGGGCAGAGCCAGATTGTGGCCTCAGCTCCGGCTGGTTTGGGGCCTTCCACTTCTTGAGGGAAGGTCATGCTTGGAAAGCCACAAGCCTGGGCAATCTGGGGTCATCTCTTGCTGTTCCGGTGCGGTTCGAGTGATCGCTCTTTGTTCCTCTGCCTTGGCGCAGGCGAGCATTCACCAGCGCCTCCACCATCCCCATGCGGATGGCAGGCGCCTCCCCGTCGATGTTGGGGCTTCTGTGTGCCCACGTGTGGCAAGCGCGCCCTCCCGGTGCGACGCGCCAGCTCTGCTCATGTCCGCCACGCGCGGCGCTGGCGCAGCAGCGCCGGGTCCCTCCAAGATCTCCGCTTGGGCTCAGCAGCACCTGCGATGCTCACTGCCGACCACCTGGCTGCTGCTACAAGGCTGCATGCTGGTGCGTGGCAGCTTGCACCTCTGGCCTCATTTTCAAGGCTTGCTGGCACGTGAGCGATGAACCCTGACGGCCCATATACATGGCCCCCCCCCAGGGTAAAGGCGAAGTGAGGGTGTGCCCTGCTGTCGTTGTGCAAGCCATTTAGTGGCCATGGTCTCGCCCCGACATGCGTAAGGCGCGCTGCTGCCCTGCCAGCGGTGCTTCTTCGCTGGCTTCTCGCTTCCTTCCAGGGGCTACTCACAATTCCTGAGCGGTGCAGTCTCACAACAGACAAGGACACATCACTGCCATCCCGAATGTACAAGAAGGACATGGCGATGCAATCGACTCTGGCGCTTTTCGTCCATGATCAAAGCACTCTCTCGTGCGGCATTGTCAGCCCCTTGTGAGAACCTTTGACATGTGCAGTACATACGATGATCTGACATGGGGCCGAATGGGGCCGAATGGGGCGCGCTTCATACCCTTAGCCTCGAATCTCTGGCCCCAAGTTGGGGAGTGAGGCGAGGGCGTTTTGGCCAAGGATCCACAGGAGTTTGAAGGAACCACAGGGCAACCCTGATTCCTGGCCCCTCAAAGCAAGCGCTCGTGTGTGTGAGCCCTTGGATGGTGACTCCGAAGTGGTTTCCCTTCTGGCCCATGGTGAGGAAGCCGAAGGCATGACGTAGTGACATGGTCACTTCTCTAAAATATTGGTCCCTTTCATGGTCCTTATTCTAAGGGCGGCCCCTCTTGTTTCGGGTACCCCCCCAAAAAAGGGTGCCCTTCTTTAGAGAGCTGACCCACATCGTGTGCGTGGGAGCTCCGGCTCCTCCGCTGTCCTCCTCTTCGTTCAGACCCTGGCAGTGGTCACTGGGCGCTTGTTGCAACCGTGTCAAAGTCTTCAGCCGTGCCCAGGTCCCTCAACTCCTTCCCTGTGCACCCCGTTTTAGCCCCATCCGTCCGACATGTGGGCGCTCCCCTCCCTCGCCTGCGCTTGTAGGATTTCGCGGGCTCCGTGAGAGGCAACGGCTCCGGCCCCTCAAGTGCGCCAGCCCTGTGTTCAGAGCCAAGGGGCTTTGTCACAGGCCTTGACGCTGCGAGGGCCAACGACCTCGGTTCTTGCTTGCAGGATCGAACGTAGCTTCTCTCGCTCCAGTACGTTGCTGATACAGCCATGCTGTAATGCACCTGCTAAGTCAAGGCAGATGCTTAAATTGTGACCTCACGGCGAAAACATATGACTACATGGTGCCGCTTCCGGCAGTTCCGTGTGTTGCAGGAATCGCCAGGCTGTCAGAAGCTTAAAACCCTAACCCGTGAGGCCATATGAGGCTCCAGCCGCAGATGTTTCGGGCAAGTCATCAATGCGCAGGTGCTCTTGCTCTTCGGTGCTCGGCGCATTCAGCGCCCGGCCTTTTATCATGCAGCGCCCTCGGAAAGCGGTTGGCGTGCTGTTAGGGGCTAAGTCGGCTCAGTTCAAGCCTTAAGGGCGTGACGAGCGGACGTTGAGTTCAGGCCGCTTCGCAGGCACCCCTTTCTCTGCAGCAGCATTCTCATACCGCCCGCGGATCCATGCCTACACGTGCCATGTCTGCAAAGAGGGCTTGAAGGGGCCCCTGCCGGAATGCGTCGTGTAAGCAGGGATCTGCAGCTGCATAGGTCTCCATTGCGCCATCTCGGCCACTTTGGGTCTGTGGATTCCACGGCTCTGGAGTCATAAGATTGTGTCTAGATCTCGCGCTTCGGCACTTCAGTTCTCAAGCATCCTCCATGTCGTTCAGAGCAGGGGGGCGGCCCAGCTGGCAGCGCATGCCTCAGCCCCTGCATATTAATTGCTTAACATTGCTTAGCTATTTCATGTGCCGTGGAGGGCGGGGAGCAGGGGTGCTGAGAAGGAAGAAGTCAGCCGTCCAGCAGCAGCGGCCAGAGTGTCTCCTACTAATTAGCAAGGAGGTTCAATGTGCGAGCCTTATTGTCTTGTCCTGGCTCTGGGGACACGCGCCCGTAAGGCCCATGTCTTGCACTTTCCGTCCGAGGTTCTGTGCCGCCCTCAACGGTAGGGGTTGGCTTGTTTTCCGAGCCAGGCCATGACCAGGATTCCTCAACACCGGGTGCTCGATCATCGTTGCGCAGCCCTGCCTGCACCCCCCCCGTGGCAGAACTCCTGCGCATGTTGCTGGATGATCGTCTTGCGCGTCGCCCTTGCAACGTTGAGAAGCTTTAGGATGGTCCTCGCATGACACCGCGGCCCCCTGGTGCCTCTGGTGGACTCACTCTTGGCCGTGTCCTTGCCAGCGTTGCGGGCTCAGGGGGCTCTGATCATGTTGTCCACACAAACCCTCTCTCTACAAGCACGGAGCTTCGCCGTCAAGAGTGCAGCCTGGTGTTCGCGGACATCCATCGCATGTTTGAAGCTCCTAGTCAGGACCTGCCATTTTTATCACGCTTTCCCACTGCCAGTTCTTAGAAGCATGGCCAGCCGTGTCATTGCAGTAGCTAGCTGCATTAGCCCATGGAGTCAAGGCCTCTGTTTGCGACGCAAGCTTGTGGGAACGAGCTGCGGGCCGCGGCAATCACGCATGACAAGTAACATGCTCCAACAACTGGTGTGCATCCATGTGCGTTCGCAGCATCGCCAGCTGGAAGGCTGCTGAATCGCGAGGATCACCTCGACGGTAGCATGTTTTTGGATGTGACAGACATGCACCACACGTGCAGCCGCAGAAGGGATACAGGGGCCTGACTGTTCAGCCTACCACTGACTGACTTGCAAGGCTCCCTTCATGGCTTGGCAGAGGCCGAAAAGGAGCCGCGAAGGCGTCGCGGGCTCCCCAGTCTCTGACAGTCGAAGCCGTGAGGTGAAGGGGAGGGATGGGCCGGCAAGGAAGGCACAGGATGCAGACTGGAAGAAAGCACCTAAAAGGTAAACCTTGGGATGTTGACCTTGTACTAACAGTCCCTAGTAGAGATTCTGGTGCCTCCTATTGTAATCCCTATTAAGGACTGTACTCGTGTCCGTCACCATGCTCCTCGCTCTGTCGTGCCGAGCAGCGCATGCGAGACGGCGCCGGCTTTGCCCAAGCCTAGGCTTCTGCCCTTTCTGTGACGTGCCGGGGAATGCTCTATATTAAACCCTAAACCCTAAACCCTAAACCCTAAACCCTAAACCCTAAACCCTAAACCCTAAACTTTGGCAGCTAGGGAGCCGAAAGAAGCAAGCACCCTCCGCTCTTCAAGAGCTGCCAGAGATGAGCCTCGTGGAAGCTGGGACATCCTGGCTTCAGACGGACACTTCGATGTTGCAGGTGCCCCTAAACCCTAAAACCCTAAAACCCTAAACCCTAAACCCTAACCCCTAAACCCTAAACCCTAAACCCTAAACCCTAAACCCTAAACCCTAAACCCTAAACCCTAAACCCTAAACCCTAAACCCTAAACCCTAAACATACCCTCAGCTTGCGAGGGTGTGAAATGGTGGCACCCTACCCGCAACATGTGAATTGGTCTGGAATGGTCAGGGCTACCCTTCCCCAGGACCACTTCAGACCCTTGGTAAGCGCAACCTATCCCGCAGTCCTGCATGCAAAGGTCTGGAATGGTCAGGGTCCCTAGGGTCTGGAATGGTGCGGGGATGTCCGTGTGACGGCCCCAACGCGGAGCCATGCAGACCCCGATTTAGGGTCTGCAATGGTGGGTTGAGGGTCTGGCCCTGCACCCTGAGGGGATCCCTAAACCCTAAACCCTAAACCCGAAACCCTAAAGTGCATTTCTCATGGGCTTAGCCGCCAGCCCAGCAAGCCCCCAACTTCTTGTAATGCCCAAAAGTTTCCGCATCGCCGAAGCTGCAAAGCTCCGAAGATCTCCGAAGCCTCAGAAGATCTCAGAAGGCCCTGCTCCTTTTCCTGCTGCGCCTTTCGCAAGCCAGCGATTATGGTAAGGCCTTTCGCCATGGCTTTGGTGCGGAGCTGGCGGTGCCGAAGCTCCGGAGTGGCGTAAAAAAGCACTGGTGCCGACACAGGAGCCGAGTTGCGTGTGCCTTTGCCTGCCTGGACTCGAAGTACATCGGTGCTTCGGCCCTCGTTCCTGCAGTCGAACTCGGTGGGGCTCAGGGGGCAGGTGGGGAAGACATGCCGAGATGCCGGCCCCGAGATCCACTTGGCACACGGTTGCAAGCCAAGGATTACGGGGCGTCTTCGGAGTCGCGCGCGAATCCCCCGCAACACACGAGTTGCCCAAACCTTGCAGGTGACATACTGAGGGTCGATGCTCGGGGCTCTGTGAAGCATTTCCCTGTGGGCTGTGCAGGAGGAGCTGTGCGGGCGCCTGGCATGGCGCTGCGTTGCAGGCGTCAGGGCATACGCCTACTGCGTGGGTGCAGGTTGACGGGTCACAGGCCTCATTTCGGCTCAGCCAACATGGGGCGGAAGATTGCGCAGTTTGGCGCCGGGAAGATGCTGAAACGGACCCTAAACCCTAAGCCCTAAACCCGAAACCCTATAAACCCTATAAACCCTAAACCCTAAACCACAAAGCCCATGAACTTCACATGCTCATGCCCGGGAGCCCGCGTGGGAACCACGAGAGATGTTGGCGCCCTGGCGGCCTGAGGCGATCCGCTCGAGTCAGGCCAAGACTTTCCCCCAGTAGCCGCTCATGCCATGGGCAGTTCTCTAACTTGGGATCCCCCTGTTTCGGGTCCGGTTCTACATGTGCCGTAGTAAGAAAGGGAAGCAAAAAAAGAAAGATCCTGATTTAGGAGAACGACTTCACATGCCACAGAAGCTCCAGGGAGCGCCCGCCCGGACGACCCAAGATCCCATAGCCCCGGCCTGAACTCCGTAGAGTCTTGCGCAGCGTGCCTTCGCGGCCTTCGCGGCCGTTGATGCGAAGAGAAGTTAAGATGAAGAAATGTGGCGCTCCCCCTTTCAAGAGCGCGCGGGGCTGAAGGCGCAGCTCTTCTGAAACCGGGAGAACTTCCTGAGGTTCCCATTCGCGAGATCAGGTGCCTTGCCGCTTCTGCGCACGCGTCGCTGTGATGAGGTCTTTGCACGACAAGGCAGCTGTCGTTCCCAGACGCCTTCCTCTGCGATGGACTGGAAGACCTGTGCCTTGCTGTCAAATGAGGAGGCCGCGACGGGCTCGCAGAAACTTTGGTTGTTCACAGCTGGCGCCGCCCGCAGAAGTAGGTGCGTGTTGTTCCGGGTGTTTTTGTTTCCCAAAACCTCCCTCAGAAGTAGGAGCAGGCACGACGATGTCCATGAACCTATGACCAGCAAGAACGTCAACATGCACCACCATCCTGACACTCAGACTTCACACAGAGGAATGCCATGCCCCGTCGCCACTGCCACGATCTCGCAAGAGGACAGCTCCTAATGAAGTTCCGCGTCTGAGGCAGTGCGGACGCAGAAGTACTGAGCTGCTAAGCCCAGGAGCTGTTGGTGTTCCCATTGTCCACGTCTTATGCCAATGATTCGACAGGAGAGCGCGCCATTCGCCACAGGCGCCTCGGTCCCTTCGCCCGTCACGGAGCGAGGAGCCTGGTTCAGTGCAATGTTCCTTCACCTGGCAGACGATGGGCGGATCCTTGAAGTGAAGCTGCAACCTTCCACAGGATTGTCTTTCAACCGGGCATCGCCAGCGGCATGCACTGTGCTCGGTTTGCTTCGTGCGCCTTCTGTGCTCCATGTGGCTCCTCTTGTGACTCCCCTGTGCCCTACATATGACGCAGCTTGTCGAATCTTGTCGACGCCTTTGAGGTCGACGGCCTCCGCGTGGGTTGGAGGCGAGGGCTGGCGCTCTGCATGGTGCCATGGCTAGACGAATAGCTCACACTGACACGCCGCTCGTGCCCCATTTGATGGCGCCTTTTGGGGGCGTCGGCACATGGGCAGTCGAGCTGCTCCCTCTTCCGATCCCTGGCATGCCGCGCTCACCGTTCCATCAGCTATCCCACCTTCAAGCCCGTGGCATCTCCTTGCCTGCAGCTTGGGGAGTGCTTTGGCAGCTGTGGCGGCACAGCCCGCCGTGTCAATCTGGGGCATCATGAAGAGGTCTGGACCGGTGAAGTCAACAGTTCACCTCGCTAACAAACGCATGGATGCCGTAGTTTGCTTGCGCTAGATTCGATGGAGTCAGCGTGTCGAAAACGAGTGGAGCTGCTTCACCACTGTTTTAGGGCAGAAGGACAAAGGAACCTCATCCCTTAACCCCCCAAACCCGAGCTTTTGTCATTTTTGTTGCAGGGTTTGGGTGTAACGAATGTGCCGCCGGGATGCGACATGGCCTGATGTGACGTTGTGGAGTAGGGCTTTAGCTAACTCGTGTTCTTTTTTGTGCTTGACTGTAGGATTTCTGCGGCTTGCATCAGAAATTGCCTGGCATCAGCCTGCCCAGAAGGCGGTCGCAAACGGGCGCGATGCGGGCAGTACTCGGAAGCAGGGCCTGCATAGTGGAGTGAAATGTCCCAAGACGGTTTGAATTGCAGGAAAGAACTTGTCGTACAGGGCCATCAGGTTAGCAGTTCAGGATTCGCATATGTCACAGCGATGTTCTTGCATGATTCGGTCGCTTGCATGATTTTGGAAGTTTTTTTTCACGCAAGTGCTACACACCACATGCCTGCAATACTTGTCGGCTTCGGTTGTCGCATGATGTCGCCCCCCAACAAAGCCTGTGGCAATTCAAGCGGCCATGGCCATGTACAGATGTGCCGTGATTTTGTGGTTGGCTGCAGATTGGAAGTGTTGTTTTTTTAGTTCTCGGAGGTTTGCCGGTATCGAGAGGAGCTACATCTTCATGTAATTATGTTCGGAGGGAGGAAAATAGGTTTTCTTAGGTGAGGGACTTGAGGGAGCACACATTCGCCGAAAATTGATCTGGCCAGTTCTCTACATCATGGACCCTGTTTTTGGGGGTACCCTAAATAAGAGGGCCCGCCTTGTAAGAAGGACCCCAAAAAGGGGGACCATATTTTAGATAAGTGACCATATCACTTTTTTTTCAGGTTTGTGTTGAGCAGCGAGGTGGGCCTTGCACTCAAGCTGCAATGGCTTCAGGTCTTTCAGCAACGGGACCGAGCTACGATGGGCAGTTGTCGCGTGGAACGAAGTAGCTTGGAACGAAGACATCGGGAATTTTCAGGTTCATCCTGAGCCCCTAAACCCTAAACCTTGAAAGGCAATTAAGTTTGAGAAACCCCCCCCCAATATCAGACTCAAATGGAGTGAGGCGTCTTCTGAGAAGATGCGTCTTGCAGACGTCTATGGGCCAATCGGGGCGTGGGATGTATCGGCAGTGACGCAAATGACGGGCCTTTTTCAGGACATGGTGAACTTTAATGTTTTTTCGACGTTAAAAACCCTGAGCCCTAAACCCTAAACCCTAAACACTAAACACTAAACCCTATTTTCAGGACATGGTGGACTTCAATGAAGACATTAGCCGCTGGGACACCTCTGCTGTCCGGAGCATGCGCCGAATGTTCCAGCACGCGCGAAGTTTCAATCGACGCATTGGTTCTTGGAACACCTCAGCGGTCACTGACATGAGCTCCTTGGTAGGTCAGTGGTACCCTTTACCCTTTTTTTGTTGGGGGGGGGGGGGGGGTTCTGGGTTCCCGCCGTATAAAGTAACCAACCCCTCAAAAAGGGTTCCCGTATTAGAATATGGTTACTGGGCTACCAAGGCTCAATGTTTCGATGGGCGTGGGCCTTCAACCAGTCTATTGGCGCATGGGACACATCCAAGGTAAGGAACATGAGCTTCATGTTTCACGGGGCAAAGGCCTTCAACAAGCCCATTGGCTCCTGGAA